CAGAAATAGGGGAAACGGGGCTATAACTCTCGAAACGACCGGCCGGGTCGTTACATGCACGAAGGGTGATGACGTGCCATATTGTGAGTGTTAATGCACGAAGGGTGATGCCGTTCCATATTGTGAGTGTTAATGCACGAAGGGTGATGCCGTGCTATGCCGTGCTATGTTATGAGAGTTAATGTATGAATGATGATGTCGTGCTGTTTCTATTGATTTTATGATGAGGCTGAGAGTAAAAGCACGAAGGGTGATGCCGTGCATTTTTCCCTTACTGTGTTTACTTATTCCTATTGGTTCATAGTATATTGTCTGTTCAAGTTACCATTCTACTGTAGTTCTCTATCTCATATTCCCCTCAGCATGTTCCCCCTCCTAATAGCACATGTTTAGCTGTTATTTGTACATATACTGTTAAATTGCACATGTTTGTAATGTAGGTGTCTTGTCATAGTCTCGTCACTACTTCATCGAGGTTAGGCTCGACACTTACCAATACATGGGTTCGGTTGTACTGATACTGCACTCTACACTTCCTGTGCAGATTTTGGTATTGGTCCCAGTTGATCGAGAGGCGTAGCAGCTCAGACCGGTTCATCGGAGACTCAAGGTAGATCTGTTGGCATTCACAGACCTTGAAGTCTCTGTCTATCTTTTTATTTTCTTATTTTTTATTTTTTTTACTGTTTCTTTCGTTCCAACAGTTGTATTTCTTTCAGACTTTTACTTGTAGTAACTCCTAGAGGTTCGTGAATTGTGACTCAAGATCCGGGTGGTAGTAATTAATGAAGTTTTTATATTATTCCGCACTCGCTGTATTTTATTTTAGCTTATTTGCTGTTATTTATTGAATTGAATAAGGATTGGCTTAATAATTCTCTAACGTCGGCTTGCCTAGCAAGTGGAATGTTAGGCGCCATCACGGTCCCGGCGGTGGAAATTTCGGGTCGTGACAAGTTGGTATCAGAGCACTAGGTTGCCTAGGTCTCACAATTCATGAGCAGGCTTAGTAAAGTCTGGAGGATCGGTACAGAGACGTCTGTGCTTATATTTCAGAGGCTATGAAGTTTAGGAATCATTTCACTTCTATTCTTCTCTGTCGTGCGATTTTATTCTATCATTGCTGATTGAACTCTTTTATTCTTGTCCTTCCGTGGATGGCGAGAACACGTGCCGCTTCTTCAGCTGAGTAGTAGCCAGAGTCTCCAGTAGAAGCTCCTACGAGGGGCAGAGGTCGAGGCCGAGGCTGTGCCAGAGGCAGAGGCAGGGGCAGGGGCAGGGCTCAGCCTAGAGCCCGAGCAGCAGCCCCAGCAGCGGAGCCTCACGTAGAGTTTGACGAGGAGGTTTCAGCCCAGACTATTTCTGCTGGACCAGCTCAAGTTCCGGAGGGGTTCATTGCCACCCCAGTACTTCAGGACACTTTGGTCCGTTTGGTGGGCCTTACGGAGAGTGTGGCCCAGACTGGTGCATTTCCCATGGCACTAGCCGTCTCTCAGGCTGGAGGAGGAGCCCAGACTCCTGTGTTTGTGAAGAAGAAGGATGGATCGATGAGGATGTGCATAGATTATCGGCAGTTGAACAAAGTTACTATCAAGAACAAGTATCCATTACCGAGGATTAATGACTTATTGATCAGCTTCAGGGTGCCAAAATGTTTTCAAAGATGGATTTGAGATCTGGCTACCATCAATTGAGAATTAGGGCATCCGATGTCCCTAAGACAGCTTTTTAGACTCGGTACGGGCATCATGAGTTTCTAGTGATATCCTTTGGGTTGATAAATGCCCCCGCAACATTCATAGATTTGATGAACCGAGTGTTCAAGCTTGGACTTCTTTGTGATTGTGTTTATTGACGATATCTTGATCTACTCCCGTAGTCGAGAGGAGCATGAGCAGCATCTTAGGATTTTACTTCAGACTTTGAGAGCCAGCCAGTTATATGCTAAATTTTCAAAGTGCGAGTTTTGGCTGGATTCAGTCACTTTTTTTGGAGGCACTATCTTTACGGCATGTCGTGTGAGGTCTTCACGGATCATCGGAGTCTTCCGTATTTGTTCAAGCAAGAGGATCTCAATTTGAGGTAGAGGAGGTGGTTGGAGCTATTGAAAGACTATGATATCACTATTTTGTACCTCCCCGGGAAGGCCAATGTGGTAGTCGATGCCTTGAGTAGAAAGGCATCGAGTATGGGCAGCCTTTCGTTCATTCCAGTCGGTGAGAAGCCGTTTGCATCAGATGTTCAGACTTTGGCCAACAAGCTTGTGAGGTTGGATATTTCAGAGCCCATCTGTGTTCTAGCTTGTACAGTCGCTCGGTCTTCCTTGTTTGAGCGTATTAGAGATCGGCAGTATGACGACCCTCATTTGTTGGTCCTTAGGGACACAGTGCGACATGGTGGTGCCAAGCAAGTTACTGTTGGAGATGACAGACTTTTACTACTAGAAATACAGACTTTTCCCACAAAAGAATCAGTGAAAAATCTGTGTGAAATTTTAATATTCCCAGGGGAGACGCTCAGTGGAAAAATGGCTGGTGGAAAAATAGTTTCCCAGAATATTCGTGGGTAATTCTCAGGGAGTTTCCGACTGAGGGTTTCACGAGAACTTAGTGGGCTCACCTAGTGTAATTTCCCACGAACGTCATGGAAAAAGTAAGAAAATATAATAATTTAATTTTCTTAAGTTTTCCACCGAATCTGTGGGAAGTATTAAAAATAATTTAGATATTTGTTTTATTTTACCTATGGAAGCAATGAGAAATATTCATAACTTGAAAATAAACATATAAACATTCCCACGAAAATCAGTGGAAAATATTGAAATTCTGGAAAAAAATATGCACAAAATTCCCACGACGTCGGTGGAAAATCCGTGGGAAATTTGAAAAATATTTTCATGGCCAAATCTACTTTAAGAACTACACCACCTGCCAAACAGAAAGTACAACCAATAATACAAGACTAAATACAATTAAGCATTCAAATACCAAATTCAACATGCAATCCAATTCATTTCATAAACAATAACTAATCAATCCATTTCATAATCAACATCCAACTAATCAGAAAGTAGAACAAAAACTAAAAAAATCCAACATTCAATATTAAACATCCATGTACCATCCAAGACAAGCTAATAAAAGAAACTACTCCTTAGTTATCATCACATGCTGGAGAACGGGGCATAGGAAATACACCAAATGCACCACATACTCTATTTCTAAAATCTCCTCGAGTACACCATAATAATCAATATCTCCATCTTGGTCACCGTCACCACCTTTCACCCAGACTCCGCTATTAATGGTTTTTTTATTCTTAGACCATTCTTCCGTGTGAAACTTGTACCCATTGACAAAGTACTTGGACATAGTTTTGACTTGAGGTATAGGTCCCCAAGCTATATCACGTAAAAATGGATCACCTATACCATTGTCTGGATTATGAACCTATATAGAGTTGAAGAAAATTGAGAAGTTAGAAAATACAACTTGTGCAATTTATAATGAGAATCTGGTAATATATTAGTTAACACTTACATAATCTCTAAACTACTCTGAAAACCTTGGATAAACAGCCAAACACACTCACAAAATAATTGTCCGACATATTTATAAAGTTTATTAGTTAAAATACGGATAGATCATGCAAGTAGGTCAATAATATAATTTCAAACCTACTTGTAAAATTGTTGAACTTCGGGGCAATTGAGCAATACATGTGTTGTAGCCGACTTTTTCTCCATCTCAATCCAATTTATTTTTTGATACTTCTTAGAACTTCTACCGGGTTGATTGAATATGGATATAGGCGGTGCCAAAGGATCATTATCACCTTCATCGTCATGCCGATTTTGGCCTATTTCTCAAACATGGCACGCGATGCTCAAAATAATATGAACAAAAATGAGAAGTTTCTTTAACTAGATATGCTTTACATATTGATCCTTCAATCTTGGATTTTTGTTTCACCATCCGTTTACATTTGCTAATAGTCCTACATAGCATAATTTTAGATGGGAAGAAGTATAATCAAAACATATAAAGGGAAAATAATTAATGGTTATTACCTCTCAAATGGATACATTCATCTATATTGAACATGCTCTCCATGAACCGTCCACACATAGTAATTTTCTCTAAACCCCTTTCTATAAAGATGAACTTTAACATCCCCAAGTATCAACAACTTTATACAATTGTACTTAGCACAAGGACACCTAATTGTTCCTTCATTACGGAATTCAGGAAGTATTTTTGCATAAACAATAAATCCTTTAACACCTTCTACAAATTCTTCCTTCAATCCCCCACGATTAGGATGATTTCTATCATACATCTATCTCCGATCTTGTTTCATCTATTACACAATAGCAAGATAAAATAATTAAATAAAGAAATAAATAATTTATTTTATTCAAGTTAGTTTACAATTAAACTTGAATATAGATCTTAGATAATTCACATTTCTTTTTTCTTTTTATTAAGTTAAGAAAAGTTATGGTTGTAAATAAAATTTTTGTAAATGAACAATTATTTTTAATAGAAGTGCTCTCAACAAGTCCTTGAAATCAGTTTTAGAAATACCAAGTCAAATCAAGACTCTAACAGACTTATCATGCGTCAATATCATGGTTCTTAAAAAAAATATAAGTAATTAAAGGAATTGGTAAAAACGTAATTCTCACTCACAAAATTCTAATAGATTGCAATGTCTCTCAATAATTAACTTAACATGTAAATGGATGAGAATATAATATCATATAGGAAACTTACTTCAGTTTCTTAATGGTCAAAGTATATATATTGGGTTTAAGCTTAACTGCCTCCTTTATCAATATCTCCTTGTAGCAAAGAAATGATAACCTGGCAAAACAAGTTTTACAAGGAATATTAATTCCAACTTGGCTTCTCATCCAAATGTCTGTACAATACAAACTAACTACTGTAATTTTTATATTAGAGCATATCATACAAATGATAATTTCACCTAGAGGGGGAGCAGCTAGAGTTTGCCTTGAATACATTGAATAGCCAATGAGAAGGAAAGTTTTTTGCTTCAAGAATTCTTGTAGCAGCATCAACGATGAGATTGACCTTGGATGCTTTTTTCTGGATACGGATCCAATTGTGGGCTTATGAAACCTGCACAAATAGCATGAGAAATTTGAAAATTTTACTAATAAACAAAGGCAGCCTTAAACAAATGTTATAGTATCCAATTTCTCCATACTCTTTATATATCAATAAAGAATTATAGATTTCTATAGTTTCACATTGCCAGAAAAGTGATAAATTCCCTAACAAAGCCTCCCCAGAAAACCTTGAGGACGAAAAGCTATTCTTTCTTTAAAGTCAAATGGTAATGAAAAGATGATTTGCAATTATTTTGTTGTTTCATTAGGGAAAGTAGCTAATTTTAATCCTTAAAATATTGTGTTATCCCAGTTTTGATCCTTGTGTTATCCAACGTATCACATTTAACCTTTAATTAAATTTAGGTGCGATTTAACTCCAATAATTGATGGAAACTTTAGAAAAAATATCAAGCCTTGAGGTGCACTACAATTCCAGTGCTTCTAATGCAATACAAACAATATCAAGCCTCAAACAGTCTCATAATAATAAAATCTTTTTAATGTATACATTACTATGATATGCAGTAGTTATTTCAGACTTCTTCAGTACATTAGTCTTAAGATCCCACCTTTATGACAAAGTTATATTATTTTTAAGCACTTCAAAATCTCTTAACCCAAAAAAAAAAAAAGAGACATCAGAAGGATTATGCACTAAACTTGAAAAGAGACCTAAGCAGCTAAGCAAAAGGCTTACCTGAAGTGTTAGCTCAGCAGCCGCTATATCAGGACAAACTTTGGTATCCAAGACCTGATACAAAACAATAAGGAACAATAACTATACTTACTACTTAAAAAGTCACAAAATGAAGAGCAAAGTTGACAAATTTATAACTACAATAAGGAATTCAAGCCGCACAAAAGATTGACCATTATAACAATTGCCTACTTAAGAACAAAAACATGAGAGTGATTTGATTGCTAGGATCAAGAAAAATGAAACCAGTATTAGAATCAATTTCTTTTTAGTAAACCAACACTTCCCATATCATGTGCTTCATACATTTTCTGTTTTAAGAAAAGGAAAAAAGTAGTACGCAAACTACGACAGGTCTAACAACATAATTTTTGCCTTCTCTCCTATTTGTAAAAAAATTGTTTAACTCTTCGGCTGCATTCTAGGTTCTGCGTGTCTTCTCTTCATTCACGCGACCAAAATCTCTCCAGGAACAAGACATTTAGATGATAAGTTCATCAAACTGAACAACAAAAAAGCAATAGAAGTGCTTTGCCTAAGTCTACTCTGTAGGGTAATTAGTAGTAAACAAAATTAACATAGTAAGAAGGGAAACTGATTTATATTTATAGTTCATCTGTTCTCGAAGATGCACAAGTGCAACCATAAAAATTGGACAAGGGCGAAAATTACAACGACAAAGAAATCAACAAGAGACATGCAACTGAGAGACTAAGAAGAAAGGAAAATATGTATATCTTTAAGAAGAGGCACAAGTGTGAAGAGGACATAAACATTGATTTTAATGTTAATAAAGGAATTATTATGTCAAGAAATGATATTTTGAGGTTCTAAACTTAAATGTACTCATATTTACTAATTTTTACAAATTATTGACTTTACTCAATGATTAAAATCATAAGTATTTTCGGGTGATAACACTTCTGAAATCCAATGTCATTTTGTAAAATAAAAATTTCGAATGGACAGATATAGTCCAACCATAAGAAAATACAAACCAAACTCAAACTTTAAAAAGAAGCAAAATCTAGAAGTTCAATAAAAATTAATTTCTTTCAATAAATTCATCGAACACCTAGTATAGAGATAGGTTACCTAAGGAGTTAACAAACTCAATTCTTGACCAACAAATTCTTGCATGCAAAAGAATTGGAATGAAGCAGACTCAAGCTTCAGGTGACAGTGGCAAAATCCGAAATCGGAGAAAGGAGAGAGAGAAAAAGAGATTGACTTACCTACTCATCGGAGTGAAGGGATTCCCGAAATCGCAAGCTTGTATTGGATTTGGAGAATAGAGTAGTAGTCGAAGTGATGATTGTTTATCCTTTTGTCGTCGGCGCTTAAAGTATCAACCGATGCTGAGTATTCGATCGGTAGCAGGTGCTAATGTCGGGTCGGATTCACGGGCACAGGTCGCGAATGATTTGTTGCCAAATAGGTCACGATTCGTTAAGAGCTTTTCAGTGATGGATAGCCAATGCAATGCTTTAGGTCGGTTAGAGGGGAGGCCATTGGAGAAGAAGGGATGCTTAAGTTTACAAAGAAGAGAATGGGAAAATAGAACAAAGAAATTTCTGAATGAGAGAAGCGATTGTGACCTAATTAGAATGTGGGAAATCTTTCTTTTGCAAAAAATAAAATAATATACTAATATTTACTTTCCCAGAGAATGTGTGGGAATATTAAAAATATTTCATATACTTTTTTTAGTTTGCCACTGTTTTCCTTGGGAACTTCTTTTTAATTTTATGTAATTAATTTTCAATTATTTTTCCACTGACATAGGTGGGAAACGAATTTCGCAGTTTTAGGTGCTAAACAGTTCCCACGGAGAGTTTGTGAGAACTATTGAAATTTTGGTAAAATTTTCGTGTCCCCACTTTCCCACTGATTTTGTCAAATTTTTTGTTGGAATTACTATTAATATATTTTCGTGGGAAATATCCGTGGAAAATTTGCATTATTCTAGTAGTGTTTTGAGGATGAAGGGTCGTGTTTGTGTGCCTAATGTGGATGGACTTCGTGAGTTGATTCTTGAGGAGGCCCACAGTTTCTGGTATTCTATTCATCCAGGCGCCGCCAAGATGTATCAGGACTTGCGGCATCATTATTGGTGGAGGAGGATTAAGAAGGATATAGTTGCTTATATAGCTCGGTGGCTAAATTGTCAGCAAGTAAAGTACGAGCATCAGAGACCCGGTGGTTTACTTCAGCAGATAGAGATTCCTGAGTCGAAGTGGGAGCATATCACTATGGACTTCGTTGTTAGACTCTCACGGACTCAGAGGAAATTCGATGTCGTTTGGGTCATTATGGACAGGCTGACTAAGTCAGCGCATTTCATTCTTGTGGCAATTACCTATTCTTCGGACAGGTTGGCAGAGATTTATATCCGCGAGATCGTCCATCTTCACGGTGTGCCCGTATCTATTATTTCTGATTGAGGTACGCAGTTCACCTCGTACTTATGGAGGGCAGTACAACGTGAATTGGGCACGCGGGTTGAGTTGAGCACAACGTTTTATCCTCAGACGGACGGACAGTTCGAGCGCACTATTCAGATCTTGTAGGATATGCTCCGCGCATATGTTATAGACTTCGGAGGATCGTGGGATCAGTTCTTGCCCCTTGTAGAGTTCGCTTACAAGAAAAACTACCAGTCGAGCATTCAGATGGCTCTCTGTGAGGCATTATACGGTAGGTGGTGCCGGTCGCCAGTTGGGTGGTTCGAGCCGGGGGAGGCTTGGTTGTTGGGTACAGACCTAGTACAGGATGCCTTGGATAAGGTCAAGATTATTTAGGATCGACTTCGCACAGCCCAGTCCAGGCAGAAGAGTTATGCTGACCACAGAGTTCGTGATATTGCATTCATGGTCAGGGAGAGAGTATTGCTTCGGGTATCACCCATCAAGGGTGTAATGAGGTTCGGAAAGAAGGGCAAGTTGAGCCCTAGGTATATCGAACCTTTTGGGATTCTGGAGAGAGTGGGAGAGGTGGCTTACAGGCTTGCGTTTCCACCGGGGTTATCAGCAGTTCATTCGGTGTTTTACGTGTCCATGCTTCGGAAGTATCACGTCGATCCGTCCCACGTATTAGATTTCAACTCTGTCCAGTTCTACAAGTATTTGACTTACGAGGAGGAGTCGGTGGCTATTCTAGCCCGACAGGTTCGACAACTGAGATCTAAAAGTTATCCTTCAGTTCGAGTGCAGTGGAGAGGTCGGCCCATTGAGGCAGCTACTTGGGAGTCCGAGTCAGCTATGCGGAGTAGATATCCACATCTTTTTACCAGTTCAGGTACTTTTCTATGTCCGTTCGAGTATGAACGGTTGTTTTAGAGGTGAAGAATATGATGACCCGATAGGTCATCTTATATTTCAGAACCTAATTTTATATTTTGAAATCTCAAAAACCTCATTTTAGCCTTCCTCGATTTGCGTGCACAGTCCAGATATTCTTCCGGAAGGCTTATATGTTAAAAACTAATAAAAATAAGAATTTTACCTTAGAAATTCATTTAAGTTGACTTCGGTCAATGCTTTGAGCAAAACGGACACAGATCTGTATTTTTATGGTCCCGGTAGGTCTGTATCATAATTTGGGATCTGAGCGTATGCCCGAATCGAATTCGGAGGTCCCTAGCCCGAGTTATTAGTTTTTGTTGAAAATTAAAAGTTTTAAAGATTTATGATATTTAAAAATCGAATGATGTTTGGATTTATTGATACCGGGTCCATATTTTGGTTCCGAAGTTCGGTACAGGTCCACTATAATATTTATGACTTGTCTGTCGAATTTGGTGAGAAACGGAGTTGATTTGACGTGATTCGGATGTTCGGTTGTGAAAATAGAAGTTTTAAAGTTTTCTTAAAAGTTTCCTTTGATTTAGTGTCCAATTCGTGGTTCTAGGCGTTATTTTGATATTTTTATCACACGAGCGAGTTCATGTGAGGTTTTTGGACTTGTGTGCATAATTGGTTTGGAGCCCCGAGGGCTCGGGCGAGTTTCAGATAGGCTACGGGTGTTTTGAAATTTAGAAAATCTGAGTTTTTTGAGCTTCAGCTGCTATCTGGTGTCTTCTTCTTCGCGTCCGCAAAGATACTCTCGCGAACGCGAAGAGTAAACTGGGGTAAGGTGATTTTCTTAAGCACGAACATGATAGCTGGGTCGCGAACCGAAGCAATGGGGGCCTTACCCTTCGCTAACGCGACCAACTTTTCGTGAATGCGAAGCTTTAGGGACCTGGGGGAGGGGTCAGTCATTCTTTTACGCGAACGCGAGCATTGGCTCGCAAACGCTAAGGCCAGGGGGGAGCAGCCTTCGCGAACGCGAAGGAGGAATTGCGAACGTGAAAGCCATTTAGGCTGCTGCACATCGCGAACGCGGCAGGCCCTTCGCGAACGCGAAGAAGGCCTGACGCCCAGACCTTAAAACATTTCAAAAACGAGATTTTACCCATTTTTCATAAACTCTCCATTAGAGCTCGGCCTAGGTGCGATTTTGAAGGGAAAACTCAACACCAATTCATAGGTTTATACTCTTTAATTCATTTTCTTTCATTTCTAATATCACCCATTAAATTCCTAACCCTAATCTTTGTTCTTTCATAGTAGAAAACTAGGGATTTAAGAAGGATTGGGGGGCTTTTGCAAATTGGGGATTTAGACCTCAATTTAGGGTCAGATTCCGAAACTAATTATATAATCAGGATCGGGGGTGAATGGGTAAGTGGATTTTGGTCCGAACCTCGGGTTTTGACCAAGAGGGCCCGGGGTAGATTTTTTACTTTTTTGGGGAAAGTTTGGGGAATCTAAATTTATACATTGTAATTAATTTCTTTAGCAATATTTGATATTATTGAGTCGTTTTTGATTTGATACAAGTAGTTTGGAGGTGGATTCTAGAGGAAAAGAGGTAATTGAGCATTGAGTGGCCTTTGGAGCGAGGTAAGTGTCGTGGTTAACCTTGACTTGAGGAAATATGACTTGTTTGTCTATTTGCTACATGTTTAAATGTTGGGGAACAACGTATATGTGAGGTGACGAGTACTTATACGTTGTAGTCGGGTTAAAGCATGCAGGTGAGGCTTGGTTTCTTGCAATTATAGCTTCCTTTATTCATGTTATCCGTGTTTAGACTAGTATTGTTAAATTGATTGTTCTTATCATGTTTACGGATCTTCTAGTGATAATTGAGTATTGATTCCGAAGTTGAGGTTGGTATTGTGGAACCAAATGGTTGAAGTAAGGCTTGTACTTGTTATTCTATCTCCCTGTTGTTATTTGTTCATTGCATTATGGTAAGGGAGAGTGTTAATGCACGAAGGGTGATGTCGTGCCATATTGTGAGTGTTAATGCACGAAGGGTGATGTCGTGCTATATTGTGAGTGTTAATACACGAAGGGTGATGCCATGCCATATTGTGAGTGTTAATGCACTAAGGGTGATGTCGTGCCATGTTATGAGAGTTAATGCACGAAGGGTGATGTTGTGCCATTTCTATTGATTTTATGGTGAGGATGAGAGTAAAAGTACGAAGGGTGATGCCGTGCATTTTTCCCTTGTTTTTATTGGTTCATAGTATATTGGCTGTTCAAGTTACTATTCTGTTGTAGTTCTCTATTTCGTATTCCCCTCAGCATGTTCCCCTTCCCAATAGTACATGTTTAGCTGTTATTTGTACATATAATGTTAAGTTGCACATGTTTGTTATGTAGATCTCTTGTCCTAGCCTCGTCACTACTTCGTCGAGGTTAGGCTCGACACTTACTAGTACATGGGGTCGGTTGTACTGATACTGCACTCTGCATTTTCTATGCAGATTTTGATATTGGTCCCAACTGATCGAGAGGCGTAGCAGCTCGGACTGGTTCATCGGAGACTCAAGGTAGATCTGTTGGTGTTCGCAGACCTTGAAGTCCCCGTCTATCTTTTCAGTTTTTTTTTTTACTGTTTCTTTCGTTCCAACAGTTGTATTTCTTTCACACTTTTACTTGTAGTAACTCCTAGAGGTTCGTGAATTGTGACTCAAGATCCGGGTGGTAGTAATTAATGAAGTTTTTATATTATTCCGCACTCGCTGTATTTCATTTTAGCTTATTTGCTGTTATTTACTGAATTGAATAAGGATTGGCTTAATAATTCTCTAACGTCGGCTTGTCTAGCAAGTGGAATGTTAGGCGCCATCACGGTCCCGACGGTGGAAATTCCGGGTCGTGACAGTAATGCAGTTTGATTGGACACAGAGTTTAAGAAAAAAATATTTTTGAAATATTTGATCAAAACAAGCTATAGATATTTATGAGGCTATAAATCATCTCATGATAAATTAGAAAGCCTAAAGGTATATTATTTTTAAATATTAAAAAAATATGTATTTTTTGGGACAAACTAAAAATGAAAGTATCACATAAATTGAGATGAACAGATATTATATTGCTCATTTTGCCCCTATCAGGAAAAGTTATATTTATTTATATATTTGTTTTGACAAAGGATTGTGATTATCAAGGACGATTATGAAATCAAATACGCCCTGTATTTATTATTATTTTTTATTTTCAATTTTGTTTTGTGGAGAAAATATGCCC